AAGGAAGGTTGGGCAATCCTACTTCCGTAGTGATACTGCCTCGGAAACCCAAGGAGGGGTCGCTATGAGTCGGGTTTGACTCGACGGCACATAACAACAGCAACAATAGCATAGTAGTTAAGACGATGGACTCTGAAGTCAGACCTGTGTTTGAATCCCAGCTCTGCCACTTACCAGATTACTACTTAGCCTTTTATGATCTCAGTTTTCTCATCTCTCGATAGGAGAAAAGAATAGTACCTGTTTTGTAGGGTACATGTGAGCACTTAAAACTCTTGGCAGCATCTTAGCACATGGCATTCTGTAATGTGAGCTAAATATTTTTATGTGGCCTGAAGATCTTTTTAAATTAATGAAAAACAAAAAGATGTGAAGTGAGAAAGATTTGTTTGGAACAAAGGTATTCCAAATATTCATTCAGCAAGGGTAGGGCCATTTGCCTTGCGCTGTTTCAGTCACACAGTAAATTCTTATCCTCAACATATAAACACTAACAATTACTGAGAATTCTTGAGTGATTCCAGAGCTTTCACAAGAGAAGCTTAAAAGCCAGATGCAACCCAGAGGCTGACGGGATCACCCAGGGGGCTTTGTGGCACTTCTTACGGAGCCAGAAGCAGGCCACTTCTCTACTGCATCATTTTTAGCTGATTGTGAGATGTGGATTCACTGGGACTCCCCACAGCGTTTCACTTTTTCAGTTTCTTTTTCTTGCTCTTTCTCAACTGGTTTCTGACTAAACCATGATCTTCGAGTACAGGTTGTTGTTAGGTACCATTGAGTTGGTTCCGACTCATAGCAACCTGTGTAGAACAGAACGAAACGCTGCCCCTTCCTGCTGACATCCTTAAAATCGTTCCTATTTTGAGTCCACTGTTGCAGCCACTGTGTCAATCCATCTAGTTGCGGGTCTTCTCCTTTTTCTCTGACCCTCTACCAAGCATGATATCCTTTTCCAGGGACTGGTCCCTTCCGACAAAATGACCAAAGTAGGTGAGACGAATTTTGGCCATTCTGACTTCCAAGGAGCATTCCAGCTGCACTTCTTCCAGGACGGATTTGTTTGTTTTTCTGGCAGTACTCTCAGTATTCTTTGCCGAGACCACAATTCAAAGGTAAATTATCCATAATTTGACCCTCTACCAGGCATGATGTCCTTCTCCAAAGACTGGTCCCTCCTAAGTCTAACTCTTCAGTCCCTTAGACGCCAAGTAGGCCTAATTAATCTTTATTTTCTTTACACTCTCAGGCACCTCACCAAAAACTGCTTACTCTCATTTTTCCACTTCAGTCTTAATATCTTTGACCACCCCCGTCCACTTTCCCGCCTTTTTTGAGCTCCGCGCAAGCTGGGCACCCAACCCGCTATTTCCTCTGACTGCTAACCAGAAGGTTGGCGGTTCAAACCAATCAACTGCTCCGCAAAAGGAAGATGAGGCAATCTACTTCTGTAAATATTTACTGCCTCAGAAACCCAATGGGGTAAGCTATGAGTTGGAATCAACTTGATGGCAGTGAGGTGTGTTTTGTTTTATGCTCCCAATCCTAGTGCGCGCGGGGCAGCTGGTTAACGCGGCCCTTAGGCGACAGCTCTGCTCCCTCCGCTTCTCCCGCTGGCGAGCATGTTAATTGCAGGTGCTGCCAAACCATCACGCCATAGCTGTAAATCAGGTGCCCCTTCTGGGCCTTTGCGCCCTCAGCCGGCCTTACTCTCCTCTTTGGTCCAGGTCGTTTCAGCCTGTCATTTCCCGCTTTCTTTTCAGGCTTAGAGGAGGCGGAGTTAGGGTGGCTGCGCCAGTGTTGCCCGGGCGACGCCTTGGTTGCTTCCGCTGGTCTCAATGCTTCCGGGTTGGCATTGCGGTGGCATTTCCGACTGTGGGAGCTTCGGCTTCCCAGTCGTCCGATGAGCCCGAGCAGGTGAGGGGGAGCGCCTGGACTTCCAGGCTGGGGAGCGGGGCTGGGCCGCGCCAGGCCGCGCGGGGCCGGGCTGGCCTGGTTCCCAGCCTGGGAGGGGCTTAACGGTCCTTTGGTCTCTCTCTCCCCTCAGCCGAGTCCCTTCCCTGTCTTTCACTCTCCTGGCATCGGTGGTTTTACTTCTTCGATTGAACCCTGCTTCTCGACCCCCTTGGGAGGCCGCCTCCTTCAGGCGCCTCCCTTCTCTCCACGAACTCGCTCTGACAGCTGAGGAACTGGCAAGATCCGGCTACCCAGAGGGTGAATGGGTATCTTTCCCGGAATAATCCTAATTTTTCTAAGGGTGAAGTTTGCAACGGCAGCAGTGATTGTAAGCGGAGTAAGCAAACACCTCCATTGTATTAGTGTGAGGGATGCTGTTGAAAGATGATGCTCGCATCCGTCCCCCCCCCCCCCTTGAGGTTGAGGCATTGAAGGCATCTATTAAAATGCAGTTCGGTTACTTAACTGGGATGACAGCAATTACCAAACATGAATTGGTTTTTCAGCCAAGGTAACAGTAGGGACATTTATAGTTTTCTGTTAGTGATTCCTTGTTATTTTTTCCAGGCCAGAGATGCTTAGAATTGTCATGAACTCCCTTCGCTTTCATTCCCTCCATCATCAAGTTCCTTTATGTCTCCATTCAAGAAGTTTGTCTCAAACCTCGCTGCCTGCAAACGTTCTTGTTTGCTTTACTTGCCATCATCCTAAACTACTGTTCCAGCCTTTCCCATGTGTATCCACTGTGCTTGCTACAGTCCGACCAGGCTGACTAAAATGTGAATTTCCTCAAGCCACTTTCCTGTTCAGCCACTTACAATGTCATCCCCTCCACCCCTTGGTTTCAGCATAAGCTGCTGCTGGTATACTTCTTGTCTGATATTGTCTCAGTCAGACAAGGGAATTCTCTCTTCCATTTAGGCTGCTCTCTTCCTTTTCTGCATAAACCCTACTGCCTGCCTCCACAAGCTGAACATGTTCCCACATTTTTGTCTTTATCTGTCCTGTTTCCTTTTCTTCCTCTCCCCATTTCCCTTCTCTATACTTGTCCAAGGCCCCAGGGGATGGCCTCAGGCCTAAGGCAGTCACCTGCCGCACCCAAGGCTGGTGGTTCAAACCCACCAGCCACTCCCCGCCAGGTAGCCAGGCCATGTCTTTTGAGAGCTCTGGTAGCGTAGTGCCTAAGGCACTTGATTGCTAACCAGAAGGCTGGCAGTTCAAACCCACCAGCCACTCCTCGGAAGGAAGGTTGGGCAATCTACTTCCATAGCGATACTGCCTTGGAAACACAAGGAGGGGTCGTTATGAGTCAGGTCCAACTCGATGGCACATAACAACAACAATAACAACATACGTGTCCAAATTCTGCCTGCCCTCTTGTCAAGGCCCATTTTAAGTTCTCTCATCTCCATAAACTTTTTCAAAGTATTCAAGGCCATACTGATTTTCTCTTTTCCTCTAATGAACTACTTTGATTTCCTCTACCAGATTATAAGCTCTTGAAAGGCAAGTACTGTATTTCATACAACTTTTATCCCCACTACCCCCACCTCCTTGATCATCTGGGAAAGATAAGTTGAATGGTATATATTGTCATGGTGTTAGAACATATGTTCTGAGTTTTTGTTTGTTTGTTTTGACATGATGGTCATACCCATAGCACATTTTTGTTTGGCTCTCCTACATTACCTCCTACATCTGAGAATCTCCAATGTTTATCCTTCTTAAGGAGAAAGCAAGAAAGACACGCAGGTGTTCCTGACGTGATCTTTGCAGTAGTGTAGGGCTCTGTCATTTGTATTCCAAGACATTCTTATTCTCATGGTTAAGCTACCATTTTCCTTGTTCAGATCTTCAGAATACATATCTGCATTTTGAAGACAGTTTTCATTGACTTCTTTATATAAGAAAAATATTTAAATATTCTACTTCTATTTTAACCTAGATATGACTTCTGTCCTTTTACCCATATCTGGGCTTAGCCCTCACAAGTCCCAATCATTTTTAGAGGGATCGGGAGATTTTACACAAGTAATTCTCTGCAACAAAAGCAAGGAAAGGGGATTGATTAGCAGGCAGAGAATCTCTGGGGGTCTGGAGCGTGTCCACTGTTACATAGCGTATAGCATTGGTCAGGTCCAGCAAGTTACCTTTCTGGTTTCCCCTGTGATCTTTTACATGCAGGCTGAATATGTGGGTAGAGGACATCATGCTGGAAAAACCAACCGCTTAATGAATGTGTACCCAATTCTTCACAAACTATTCGGAGGATTATGAAAAGTACTTTGGGCCACGGTGTCTGCCTTTAAGGATCTTACATAATCAGGGGAAGTAGTAACATTAGGCAAATAGAAGATAAACCTCATCCTAGTCTTTTTTTAAGATAAGAGAGGATAAATGAAGGTTTAGAAAACAGTTGCACAACTGTAGAATAGGTGAGGCATTAACATCATGCGTGCATATAGCCTGTGTAAAAGACTTGGAGGTTTTAACTGACAGCTTAATGATTCACTAGTGTGATATGGTTCCCAAAAATCTACTTCAAATTCTAGCTGTAGTCATTGGAGTCCAGTGTATAGAATGAAGAGCATGATTATGGATGGTTGGCTGGGGACAGATAAGACATGATTGCTGTCTTTCAATATTTAGAGAATTCCCCTAGCAAAAAATAAATTTATTCAAAATTGCCTCCAAAAAATGGGTGAAAACTAGAGAAAGGGAGATTTTTGCCTCAATATGAGGAAAAACTGTCTAAATCAGATCTAACCAAATTGATACAGATCTTCATAAAATAGTTTGCTCCTAACATTGGAAGGCAAACGTTTTTCTTTTCTTTTTTTATTAGGATTTGGGTGAAGATTTACAGAGTAAATTCACTTTTCATACAGCAGTTCACATATACTTTGTCTCATGTCATT